AATGAAAAGGGCATTCCCTCGTACAAAGTTAATGAATAAGTCCTGAATGCATATGGGAAATCATCTCATATCAAGAAAGTGCATAGTTTATTTAAATTGTCGGCCACCTCTGTAATGTTCCATATTATTCCCAGAACCACAGCATCAATTTCCTTTTACTTAAGCCTTCATGGAAGATCACCCCTATTTTTGTTTCAACCCACTCACCAGGTCTCTCTATATGCTAATGAGGGCAGAACAACATCCTGTCCTTCCTTGTTGGCAACTGACAGATTGCTTTCACCCAACAGGAGCATAATATGTTTTTTGCACAAATGGGTTGTTGACCTTCAGGGATCAATAAAGTCAGAGGACAACATGACTGTTGTTATTGTTGTTTTTTGTCAGTGGGAGTAATATGAGTCATACCTGATTGTGTGCCGCGGCCTCCCCACGCGCTGACCCGTCCCCTCCCCCGACCCACAGACCCTCACATGAACTTTTTCTCACTTCCCTGGAAATTCGAAAACACATTTTCCATTGAATTAAAATGAATGACCTGCTGTCGCGTCAAACTGTGCTCTGCTGTTATGAATTATCCTCACATGATGCCTCAACACACAATATTCATAACTGGCTGTGGAAGAAGACAATGTGATTTTTCTTACCTGTCAACTTCAGGGACGTTTTTGCTTTTTTGATCATTCTCCAATCAGATTTGTGACATGAACATCTGGACACATTCACACGTGTGGAAACTTTCCTCCTGCAGACATTAAAACAAGTGCAGTGCAATCCCACAGGAGGCCAGTGTTTCAACACTCAACATCTCAGGTGATTTCAGTGGAGAACAACCAAAGTGCATCACAAACCCTCAAAAGTATTATCATCCAGGAAAGCCCCGGCTCCAAAGAGCGAAGTTCATACAGGTGTCCCTATGCTGCCCTTTCCATCTAACAAAATCCAGGTGAAGCAGAAAGGATAAGGTCCCACCTGCTCTTCCTGTTTCCAGTGGTGTTGATCAGTATTCACACCACTTAGGCTGGTGTCCATCAGGATGCTCTTCCACACTGTGTCCGGTGCTGTGAAGGGCTGTGACTGTCACACATTGTGTCTCTGTGATTTTTTTTTCTTCCTCTTTCAAACACATACTCCTCTGTCCTCCAGAGTGGCAGTCATCCCCTGGGTCCTACTGCACCTCATTAAACAAGAAGATACTTTAATGGTCCTTTGTAGCTTCACCAAACCATTCATTCATTCATGAGGATTTGATACATGCTCTTAGAATGACATTTTTCAAATACATTGGCATTCGCACATACATAAACTTATCAACATACTATTTACAGTTTTTCTCAATTGCTTTGGCTCATTTTTCGAAACTGTCTTTAAACTGTAAGAGCAATTGTCAAAACTGTTTGCTGAAACATCAGAACCCTATTGCATGTCTGCAAATGCTAGTAACTCACCCAAAACATCTAATTCATGCTTCAAAACCCAGTTATTGTGTCAGTGACTTGGTCAATGCCACCAAAATAAAATATATTTTTGTTAGTGTGAGCCACACTGGTCAAAATGTTTAGATGTTTTTTTTTCACCATGGAAATATTTGTTATATGCATTTTCATTTCATATTGGTTATATGCATTTTTTTCCTCTACTTTTTTGTTGACAGACTGCTTTCTATGCTATACAATAAGTTTTGTCTGTGTATCACACTGAGCATTTTAGATAAATATTTCAACAGTAGGTAAAAATATATTGGGAAAAGTCAACACTGTAGTACTAACAGACGCTCAAGGTCGAGCAGACAGCGGCTTTCAGCTCAGAGCGCAGCCGAGCCCAGGACTCTGATAGTGGGCGACTCCATTATCAGAAACATCAGTAGCAGAAATTCAGCAACTTTCTGCTTTCCTCAAGCAACAGTTTCTTACTTTCTTTTATGTAAAGCACTTTGAATTACCATTGTGTATGAAATGTGCTATATAAATAAACTTGCCTTGCCTAGTACACAAAAAGAAAATGAACATAATGTATACAGTAGAAATGTGTTATATGTAAACTGAAATTTCACCATTGCCTATTCATTTTTACAAACTGTTGTCTTCCCCTTACAACACCACCACACATTCTTACATATCTTCCTATTGCTCTTCCTCACAGACTAGGACTTAAATACAGGGGATGATTGGGGAAACACAGGTGCATGGGATGACTAATCAAACTAAGACTGAACGAGGACAGGAACAAGACCAAATAAGGAAACACAGGAAGAACTACAGGGGCAAAACAGGTCCAAAAGTCTGACAACATGCTTCCGAACTTGATTGATTGGCAAGATTGCGGTCCCCATTTCATTATTTGTTGGGTTACAAAGGGGCAGAAATTTTCCAGTTAAAATTATAATCATTCCATGTCTGATATTTATGGAATTTACACGCTTGTCTGATAGATTTTGATAATTGAACGGATCCTTTTGCATGTGATGGCTCACATGATGAAAGAACGTTTAGAAGTTTTGAAGAGTTTGACAATTTGACTGAGAATCAACTCATCTGTTTTGATCAATGAGCCATGTGCATTTAGTTATTGTGCACATTTCAGACAATTGCACACATGCCAAAACACAGTTTGCTTAAATTAATAAGACATTCAAATCTGAACAAGAAACGAATTGTTCAGACATCTGAACGTATTGTTTTGAGAAAAAAAAAACTAATTTAAGAACTGATCCAAAGCGATTGAGAAAAACTGCAATATTACCTCATGGAACCTAATTATTACCTAATTAATTTAGTAATAAATGTTTATATTCATTCATGTCAGTCATCAGTGTTTGATTGATTTTCATTTAGTTTCTTATACTTAAATGTCAGTTTCAGCGAATTTCCAAAGCAGAGATTTAAAGAGAAGACATAGCTTGTTATTAAATATATTGGGGAGACAAGTTGCCCCAAAAACACATTAATGTAAAAACCAAGTAGGTTAGAAATGTATATATTTATACAATATGAAGTAAACACAATGTAAACACAAATAGTTTTCTAAATTCTACAACATGGTTTACAAAAGTTTGGTTTATGTGTGCTTGAGATGTGAAATCTCTGTGACAAAATGCTAAATAGTGCATTAAATGGTTATTAAATATGCAGGCTTGTCTATCATGCAGTATAATACTGTATAATTCTATTTGTAGGTTGTATTAAGTGGGCATGTGTGATAATTGTGATTAAAGAAGCGCTAAGACTGTCTTTGTACTGCTGTCCACTTCATCTCTGAGTGATTATAAATGCTCATATAACGTCTAGAAAAGATTCATTTATATAACAGAAATCTAACTAAAACCATTGTAAACAGTTTTACTGATTGCATAGATACAATGTCTTATATGTAAACTGAAATTTCACCATTGCCTATTCATTTTTACAAACTGTTGTCTTCCCCTTACAACACCACCACACATTCTTACATATCTTCCTATTGCTCTTCCACAACATGCAACTTTGAATGTTCGCAGTTCACACAACACATTTCTACAGATAAATGTACTGTACAAATAAAAATGTATTCATACAGCACTGCTGCAGTGGTTTAGGGTTGTGACGTTTGTCCTTGTTAAAAATGGTAGTGATTGTGCTGGACAAACTCTATATGTCACACTCTGTGCTGGCGAGGAACGATGGAGACGAGGAATAGCGAATACAGTCTTTAATACAATCCAAACACAGGGTTTGAAACGGAAGGAAACACACGAACATAACGAGTAGAACTGACAGAGACAGACTGCACAGACTAGGACTTAAATACAGGGGATGATTGGGGAAACACAGGTGCATGGGATGACTAATCAAACTAAGACTGAACGAGGACAGGAACAAGACCAAATAAGGAAACACAGGAAGAACTACGGGGGCAAAACAGGTCCAAAAGTCTGACAACATGCTTCCGAACTTGATTGATTGGCAAGATTGCGGTCCCCATTTCATTATTTGTTGGGTTACAAAGGGGCAGAAATTTTCCAGTGAAAATTATAATCATTCCATGTCTGATATTTATGGAATTTACACGCTTGTCTGATAGATTTTGATAATTGAACGGATCCTTTTGCATGTGATGGCTCACATGATGAAAGAACGTTTTGAAGAGTTTGACAATTTGACTGAGAATCAACTCATCTGTTTTGATCAATGAGCCATGTGCATTTAGTTATTGTGCACATTTCAGACAATTGCACACATGCCAAAACACAGTTTGCTTAAATTAATAAGACATTCAAATCTGAACAAGAAACAAATTGTTCAGACATCTGAACGTATTGTTTTGAGAAAAAAAAAACTAATTTAAGAACTGATCCAAAGCGATTGAGAAAAACTGCAATATTACCTCATGGAACCTAATTATTACCTAATTAATTTAGTAATAAATGTTTATATTCATTCATGTCAGTCATCAGTTTTTGATTGATTTTCATTTAGTTTCTTATACTTAAATGTCAGTTTCAGCGAATTTCCAAAGCAGAGATTTAAAGAGAAGACATAGCTTGTTATTAAATATATTGGGGAGACAAGTTGCCCCAAAAACACATTAATGTAAAAACCAAGTAGGTTAGAAATGTATATATTTATACAATATGAAGTAAACACAATGTAAACACAAATAGTTTTCTAAATTCTACAACATGGTTTACAAAAGTTTGGTTTATGTGTGCTTGAGATGTGAAATCTCTGTGACAAAATGCTAAATAGTGCATTAAATGGTTATTAAATATGCAGGCTTGTCTATCATGCAGTATAATACTGTATAATTCTATTTGTAGGTTGTATTAAGTGGGCATGTGTGATAATTGTGATTAAAGAAGCGCTAAGACTGTCTTTGTACTGCTGTCCACTTCATCTCTGAGTGATTATAAATGCTCATATAACGTCTAGAAAAGATTCATTTATATAACAGAAATCTAACTAAAACCATTGTAAATTTTACATTGTAAACTGAAAAAAAAATTAAAGACTTTACAGACATTGTCAAGAAGCTAATGTTATGCAGAATTTAACATACTGTACATGCGTAAAAAGAGAAATGAGGAATGATTTTTGATTGTAAGTGGAAAAACCTGGTTCTTGGCTTCCACGTGCAACTACGCTGTCATAGCCAGCGGGAGCCTTCCTTAGGCTGGAATCATCCTGCGTGATGGTGTACTCTTTTCCCAAAGCAACTTCATTTAGAAACATGATGCCAATGTTGTTGGATGGACACACTGAAAACACAAAAAGAAAAAAGAAAAATTTAGTGATAAAAAGTGCCTTTTAGTAATGTCTACCACAATTACCAAACAATCTCAGCCATTGTGTTGCCATGCTGTATCTAATTAAACTTTACATGTGTTTATATAGTGCTTTTTTATTTGAAGTCTATACTGATGCAAACAAGGTCCCGTTCCTCACCATAGCCAGCTGATTTGATGTTTTCAGAAGCAAAATAGACTCCCCTGCCCACACGTCCACCAGAATGGGGCATAATGCGAAGGCCGCTCTTCAGAATGGCTGCGACCACTGCCACGTTTGTTCCATGCCAAAGCAGCTTCCGGTTCGCCAATGCATCATTTTCCCTGAAGCGCTCAGCCTACACAACCAAATGCGCACATGCACGCACACACAAAGGATTTAATTAGGGGAAGAAGACTTGGTAATGAACAGAATTCCAAACACCCACTGAGGCCCAGTGCTTACTGCTGGTTTGAAATGAAATTAGGAATCTAATAGGCATCTAAAAGGAGTTCAAATAGAAAAACCTTACCATGCATTTAAACAGTAAGATTTTTTTGTACAGTTACAATTTTACTGTTCGCTTTAATAACACTTAACATTGCGTAAGCTTTAAACTTGATTTACGCAATACTATTCACCTCTGTATCTCTGTCAACTTCCCAGACATCCACCAAAGTGAGTCCTTTTCTTCCAGTGGCATTCAAGTACTTCTCAATAATCTTAAGAGAGAGAAAACATTTCTGAGATTGCTGCACTGCATTTCAAACCACAACTCAATTTAGTAAATACACTGTCCATAATTTAAATCCTAAAGATTTTAATAACTTAAAGGTTAAATATATACCATAACATGACATGATAAATATTTAACATCATTGACAATGTGTTCAATATGTATTCATGTCTTCAGTAAGAATATGTGATTTTTCATTTAAATTTGGAAATAAACTGCAAGCTGACAATTGAAAAAAGAAAGTATAATTTTGCAATATTTCTAGGTCATATTCTGTAGTTAACAGTCTAAAAATCTTGCTTATTAAACCTCTTTAAACTTTTCAGTATTATGCTAGTAACATTTTTTTTTTTTTTTACTTTATTTACAGATTTAAATTAGATTTTGAACTCCAGAATTCCTGTGCAGACTGTATAGATTTCTGTGCATGCAAACCTTAAATTCCTTTGACTTTTTATCCATTAAGCTTAGCTTGCATTTCAGAGACTGGTAATTTTGGTCAAATGGATGTGGCACTGTGTCCTTCATTTCTTCTTTGGCTTTCTCGGATTCAGCTTTAAGACTCTGGGCAATCTCGATGTCTGCAAGAACCTAAAAGGTACAAGCATAATAGGGAAGTTTGGATTTTGGTAATTCTTATCCAGATGATAAAGCACTTTACATTGGTCATTCATCTAACACACAAGATCAATGTGTTTTTGTAGCAAAGACTTTTTTGGGCTATGTATGATTTGACTAACAAATAACCTTCTCTGACTAATACAGTAGAAAGTGTGACAACTAGGCACTATTTAATAAAACTCGGTACACAGTAACTGTTGTGATTCTCACCAAAAGCATTTCCTTCTTGCCCTGAAGGACAGAATCATCAGAGATGATAGGTGGTCTGTTACGGCCAAAGTTATGAGGAATTATGGTGAAGAATTTGCTGGTGAGTTCTTCTAACTTGTTCCGTTCCCCCTTCTTTATTGCAGCTTCAATCTGCTCCAAAGCCTCAAAGCCTTTGGCTATCTGCTGCTTGCTGAGTTTCCCCAAGGGCATCTTCTTAATATCTGACAGAGAAATATGCAACACATGAAACTCCTCCACAAAAATGAATCTTATTTAATGTTACAGATAGGACTCAGAAAAGTGGTAGACAGGACTCAAAAAGGCAGCAAAAAGTCACATTTTCAGTTCACAATCACACTGCCAAAACTCCCCTGTGGCCTTCAGAAACACATGTAAAATGTGAGTGATCGGCAGTCTTCATAGAGTTTTAAAAGACATAAATTATTTTTCTCAGCTATCAAAAAGAACCACAATAACAAGGCTATTGAAAGGAACAGAAGAACTGGGACACAATCATTCAAAACTAACCCAGGTTCATGCTGGTCATGGCTTCTTTGAACATGTCGTTGTTGAAGATGAATCGGATGAGTCTTTGAGTTGCCTCATCCAATGTACAAGGCAGAACATGTTGTTCAGTTTTCACCTTCACATCTCCACCGTCTACAGTGTCCACCTGAATGAAACAAAATATTAGAAATGGTCAAATGTATTATTCTTTTGAAAACTTCAAGGACTTCAAAGACAAACAGGCTAAATACCTTCACTTCTGCATCCTGGTCCCCATCTACCTCTATCAATGTGTATTTTCCAGAATGCGAGACAAAGTTTTCACGATCGCTCCAATTATTCTTGGTCTTATCTTTGAATTTCTTTTCAAAATTCTTAATGGCTGCATCAACGGTAGATGGACCGGCTAAATTGTTCTGACCTGACTCTCCCTGAAAACAGTGAAAGACAGCAAAAATGAGTCATCTATTAGATGCTACAAGAGCATTTTTGCACATCATGTTGTGATATATTTGATTGACAAAAGAAAGAAACTAACTTACCACTCTGCCCCATCTTGTCCAACAATAGTACTTTCCTCCAGACACTAAGACTTGGATTACATAGAATTTGTTGTTGTTGTTTCCAATGTTGGTTTGGTTTAGCATACAGTCATAATCTTCGTGAATCTGTATGTTTAGACCAAAACTTTTCTGTGATTCAGGACAAGCAGTAATTTGAGTAATAATTTGCATTACTTTTTGCATTCGCATTGCTAATTCGCAATTGAATTACTTGTTCAGTCTCACCTCAGCATTTGATAGATGACAGAAGCTGTCTGGGTTCCTCGCGCCCTTCACCTGTGGCACTGTTGCCTTCAGAGCCTCTTTGGCAGAAGTGAACTTGTCCTTCGGGGGAGCTTCAGGCTCCTCCTTTACCTTCTTCCCTCCAGCTTTGGTGCTTGATTTTGCCCTTCTCTTAGGTGCCATCCTCTTTCCTCTCTCAGTTCATAATTAATCATAAAGTTTATATTTGGTAAGTTTAGTGTCATTTCCTGATCTCATAT